TCATTTTGTTAATTTTTGGTTCATTTTTTTTAATATTAATATTTTTTTAATAAGCATAAATTATTTATATGAATATAAAAAAAATGATAAAACATATATATTATTAATTTTTATATGTATTTATTTGATATTTTTTATAACATGATATGACTTGACTATTCAGAAACACGTAGAACAATCTTTATACTAATTTTGCCAACATATTCAAGTGCTTGCATGAACTCGTGCTATTATAATTTTTTTATTATTGAATTGTGAATTAGTGCTTGAATTGCGGAATCAAGCACTTTAATCTTTATTTTAATAAAATATTTTGGAAATATTAGAAAATTGGCATCAGATATTGTGCCTTGCAATCCAATTATTTAAAAAAAGAAAAACATAAGGCATCTGTTATATACCATTAAATTGTATTTAATTTGGAATTACTGCATTTTTTACACGTGAAAATGTCGATAATTAAAATTTGATCGATTAATATGTTATTATTTTCTTTTTCTGAAAATAAAATCCAGTAATTAATGACTTATGGTGCACATTATATTATTTTGTTCTAGAAATGAAATAATAAAGTTTAAAGCTCGGATTTTTATATTTCTTTCGTCGGTCTAAATTTTTATTTTATAAATAAAATTAAAGGTAAAGGCCATTACTATTTAATATTTGCTCAAAAAAGAAAAAAAAATATACTATGCTATTTAATAAATTAAACTTAAAAGTTTATGAAATTGATGGATTCTTGCCAACATTATGCATAACTTTATCACTAGTGATATCCTAACACATGATTATTGTCTAATTAATTAGGTCCAAGTCAAGAAAGAAAAGTGAAAACATCAACTTAAATAAGTGTCACTCCACTTGGTTTAATGTGAACTAGTATTTAAATAACCCATGTCCATTCACAATAATTAGTGCAACTAAACCACACTATATATTTTTGTCATCACCCCATTAATCCTTGTATCTCGTATCGGTGTCTGTGTGGCTAAATTTATTTTAAACAGCTGATAAACTCTTACGTTTAATATGAGTTGTTTTAAGAGCTTCAGAGTTGTTACATCTTATTTTTAGAATTACGGAAGTCTAGAACTTAAAGTTACATGAATATACGCACTCAGTAGCATATGGAGCTTATCCAAGTGAATCAATAACTGCCGTTCATATCCTCCAAATGTGCATTTACAAATGCAGATCTGGTTTTTCAACGACTATCGTATATGAAGTTGTGTATGTGAGTATGTGTATCGAAGACTGCGGTTGCGGGATGGGGGAAGACAATGGTGGTACATCGAAGATATGTTGAATCTGATCGAAGGAGTGGATGGGTTACGAAATGGGGAGAGAAGGGGTAGATGTGTAATTTCGTCTAAAAAGAAAATAGAACTTCTAACAAATTGGCGAAATTCGACCGTCCTGATTTGAAATGATATTAACGTACGATAAAGGGTGTTTACTCTTTAGCAAATTGCCCGTATAATGTATATAAATTAAAATAAAAATAAAACACGATATACATGACATGATTGATCAAACCTAATCGTCTCTCTCGATCACACACACACACACACTTACTAATTGTAGGAAATTAATATAAATGAAAAATGCATATGCTTAATTTACTAATTGTATACGTGCATATATATATATATATATGTATGTATATGTATGTATGTATGTGAGATCTTTTTTGTTAAAGTGTGTCTGAACCAACGAAGAAAGAAAGCCATGAAATTGCAGTGCCCAGCTTTAGAATATCTTTTTTACCACTTTATATATTATTTGTTGCTTTATTTATTACCCATTCATCAGAATATTCTTCATTTTTATTTATGTCTCTAGCTAGTGTGTGTGTGTGTGCGTTTTTTTCTTTAATAAATTAAACATACTCGTAATTATATTGCACCACGTGGCGGAAACACATTTGATCAGATATTTCGCCCTATATATTATATACACTCATCTCCAGCAAACTTATTTCTTACAACTCCAATCAATATTTATATCCAGAGAGAGAGAGAGAGTCTAGAGAGAGAGATCTAGAGAGAGAGAGAGAATAACCTTCCCAAATGGAGCTTCTCATCAAGAACAAGCGACCCAAGCAAAGCGACGAAGATAAGAGCTAACGGAGAAAACGAAGATACATATAGTGGGCCCCGGACCCAAGTTCCCCATGCAGTTATCGCAATCACAATTCCCGACCCAACAATCCCCTGTAAATCGAAAAAAATTCACAATGTACCTATACAAATAACCGAAAAAAAGTCAAAAAAAAAAAAAAAAAATTTGTTTTACGGTAAAAGCAGCAGAAAGAAGTCTGATATTCCAGCCGAGTTTCCAGTCGGTAAAATCCCTTTCCCGACACAAGCAATAAACTCCGGCTATGACAGCTCCGTTGAAACACGTCAGTGCGGTGCTCGAAAATACGGGGTAATTCTCGATTAATTTAGCCTGCTTGTAATAACATAGCAAACATTATCTATATATATAAAAAAAAAATATGTAACTATAAATTAAAATTTAATTACCTGAAGAATTAACCATGCTGCATAAGAAATACAGCTGCAAAGAGCAAGTGCAGTGCCCGAAACGAGATTGTGGTGCACGGTTACACGTGTCGTTGATTCATAGTGGCTTAGCAAATTTACGTTTGTCGATAAG